GAAAGAACATCTATATACACTTTATATTTTTATATGGTCGTTAAATAGTTATAAACAATTTTTTATTTAAAAAATATAAACGTTGAATAAACATTCTGAAAAAATTCTGTAAGCTCTCTTAATTGGGTCAAAATGAACATTTTTTATCTCTTAGACTTTTTTGATAAAATTAATAGTTCTTAAGACAAAAATTGTCTAAAAAAATTGAACAGTGACTAATTTTATAATTTGTTTCTCACAATCATCTAATCAGTATGAATATAAAACGAAAATATTTGGCCAATCATAAATTATAATGAGAGTTTTGTTTTTTGATCTATACTATTATTTACAGTTAAAACAATAAAAATTATTGTTACTCTAAAAAATTATATTTCTAAAAACCGAGATTTTATGAGCTGCTAAACATTCACAAAAACATATTCGTTTAAGAATTATTTTTAGTTGCATATAATAGTCTCTATCCTTTTGTAACAATTTTTTAAAGAGATTGAAAAAAGTATCAAAAAAGATTTCGGATACATAAAAAGGTGTTTTGAATTTGTTGAAAAACTTAATGGCATGCTAATAGATTCAAATTACAAATTGGTATCCTTTGATATGGCATCAATGCATATTAATATACCTACAGAATTAGCTATTAAAAGTATAGAAACAAGATTGAAATTTATTGCAAAAAATACAACGATATTAACAAGGAGGGGGAGGAGTCGCTTCCGTGAAAACTCGAAACATATGTGCAATAGTACAATCATGGAAGTCGTGCATTCCTTAAGCAGGGAGGGAGGGGGGATGGAAGTTGTTTCGCGTGGAAACTCGATGATATAGACGATATTACTTCAGAGTTATTGGCCACGAATGAATGGACATTTCATAAAGAATGGAGAACATTACTCGCATACGTTTACAGGCCGAATGTTTGGAGTTTTTCGTTGTTCTAAATTGTCCTCTAAATTATAACATTCTTTTGTTTGACGTCGGATTTGAAATTTTTGTTCGGTTTGTAAATGTTCTAATAAATGCATAAATAAAGATGATGATAATAAAAATAATCTCAATGAATAAAAACGTACAATAAAAAATAAAACGTACAATAAAAATATTTAAAATTATGTTTTATTAATTACTCTCGATTAATTATTGCTGCCAACCGAAGTTTATGTTTATACTAGTGTAGATAGGACTACAGGAGGATTAAAAAAGTCCGATTTTTAGTCTCTCTGCGGAACTTTAGTTACTCAAAAAATCATTCATATTTGAAACTCACATGAAAAGGTAAAAATAGTTTTTATCCTAGAAAAAGGGGAAAATAGATTTTTAAATATTATGTGTCTCTTTTTGTAAGTCGAATTTTCGTATACCACGCTAGAACTTATCATAAATTGGATATATTGCAAAAGTTTTTTATGATAATTGATTGACTAAAGTCGTCAATGCAAAGCAATTGAATGTTTGGGTTACCTATTGTGTAAAAAAGAAACTTCAGTGTCCAGTAATGAGGAAAAAAAAAGCAAAAAAAAACCGGAAATTGAGAATTCTTGTACGATTTAGAAAATATTTATTTTAGCAGTGCGCAATAGAAGACATCGAAAGATAGCGCTTTCATTCTATTATATGAAATATATTAAATATGTTACTTTATATATACAATCGAGCATAAACATTTTGAATCAGCCATTTAGAATTTACCATTATTAATATTTTCATTTAATTAATAGATTTATAATCAACTTGTACTTATATAGAGCACGCTCAGATTCATATTATTAAAAAATTACATTACTGTATCTCATGTGTAAAATTGAATGTCGAGGACACCATTTTTTAGATTCCCTATTTTCATAATTTGTCATTTTTAATAATAGAATCATGATGAGCGACCCTTAAAACCTCTAAGTATTATCGTAAGAAACTTTTGCAATTCGATTCATGATAAGTTCTAGTGCATACGAAAATTCGACTTATAAAAGGAGATACTTATAACATAAAAAAAATTTCCTTTTTTTAAAACAAAAATTGTTTATAATTATTCAATTATCACATAAAAAAATAAAGAGTATATAGATGTTTTTTGAAGATTAATATAATGAATCGAATTAAATCATTTCCATTAGAATGTAGGTTAATGCGATAAGTTAATTTTCTAAGCGACTTTTTGGGGGTAAAGCGCTCATCTATATATAAACGATTACTTTCGAAACGATAAAAGAAGAAAAAAAATTTTTCAATAAATGGTTTTAAGAATATTTTATAATAATAATAAATCAATTGTTTTTGCTTTATAAATAATATTTTATTAAACAAATAAAAAATTAAAACGATTTTTTAACTATTATTATAAAATATTCTTAAAATCATTCAACTTTAATCGAATGAATTTTTTTCATTTCTAATAGATATTCGTTCGAAAAAAATGATTTAAAAATATTAATTTTTGTCAAAAAAAATGTTTCATTCCCTAAAAGTGCACATGAGTATGTACAAAAAAATATATATCCTTTATTTTGGCCTAAATGACAATATATTATATTAAAATCGAAGGGGACACTTTTGTTTTATTGTGAATGCTATATTGGCGATTTCGGCAGTTTAAGGGTAAAAATGAAACTAAAATATTATACATCAATGAAATTGAATAAATTTTTCAATTCAAATCAAACTTTTAAAATAATAAAAAATCAGAGAAGATTATTAACTAATATAAAAATTTATAGAAATTAAAATAATTTTACATCAATCTGCCCAAATGGCGGTTCTATAGTGTTAATTAACGTTTTCGTAATTTTAATTATTTTTGCTTAATTGCAAACGATTATTATATAGTTATAATGAGTCAGTTATTACAACATTACAAAACAGAACTTCTAAGCTACGAACATTTTAGATTCAAAATCGTGTTAGCATTCGCGTTTCAAATAATCTAATGGAAGATCGTGGCTCTATATGAAAGCGACGGAATTCGTAACTGGCGAGTTCGATTTCATATGCGTATTTTAATTCATAAAATTTATAATTTTTCATGATAATTAAGATCTTCCTATATTTAATAAGTGTAAGAAGAGAGAAGTGTAATATGAGAATAGTTTTTCTTACCTCCACAGTATATAAAATATTGATTAGATTCCATATAGTTCTAAGGAACGCAACCATAAATAAGTCGTTAAAAAATTTTTCATTATTTAAATTCGACTCGTTTGATCTCTCTTTATTTTCATCATTGTTATCATCAGTTGGATTAAACATTTTTCACTGATTTTTTTCACATACAAAAAAAAAAAACATTGTACATAACTAAAAATATTTAAATATTTCAAAAGTTTATATGTCCGTAAATTTATCATAAGTTCATTACATGCATCAGAATTTGAAATATATTTTGAATCCCTTCATAAATTTAATACTTCGATCGAGATTATGAAATTAAAATAAATTCAATTTGATTATTATATAAAGTTATTTCTTTAATTAATTTTATAATGTTCTTAGAAAAAGAAGAAATTTGTATTTAAAGCACAATAATAAGCACAATAATAATTTTTCTAAAATTTGTAACAAGATATATTTTAAGATTATTATCAAAAAATATTCTTTGTTAATTTAAGAGGAAGAAAGTAAATTGGATAACTTTAATTGAGCACTTTTCTTACCTAATAGAATATGAAGCGTAGATATCCTCTGAATATGCACTGTATTATGTCGTACACTATATATACACTGTGCAATGCTCTCTAAATGAGTTCGAACTAAGTTTTCGACTATATTCGTCAAGTATCTTAACGAAACTAATACGTTTTTAAAACTAGAACTAGACACTTTCCACCACTTTAGTTTACCCCATTTTTGCACAGGTAGTTTTTCCTTCTTCTGATTGGTTGGAAATTAGGACCGCCTTAGCCTCAGCTCAAAGGTCGCAATTCTTCTAGAATTAGGTAGAAGGGATAAAGTAGGGAGATGACACATAGAAAAAGTAAAAGCTGTTTCATTGTCAGAAATTACACTACCTGAAGGTGATTTATTAGGTGTTCGTATATGGATACGAAGAAACAATACGATGGGAAGAGTAATCGTTGACATATATATATCATTGTATATTTGAACATTAAACTTTAAACAGTTTTTTCAGTCTACTCTGAGATCGCAATTTGGACGCGAGTATCAGAAACATCAAGATATATCGTCAAAAGTTATGCGGCAGTAGAATGAATAAAACTACTCTCTAAAACTACTTGAAAAATTAAGAAGTATTGCAAAATAATTCAATATTTGAGAAGTATATTCCAAAATTTTGTAAAAAATTTCACTTTTTGAGTTTGAAGTGGCATACTATTCAATGTTGAAAGATTCGTATTTTAAGCTACTCTATGATGTCCTAAATGTATTTTTTTACACCATCAATTTATGTGCTGAAAAAAGTTTAACTAAAGACAAACAAAATACATTTGTTTAATATTATTAGAAAGTTTAGCAATTTTGTTTAATACTTTATTGATTTATCTTATTGATTGGTAAATTGTTATTTTCTGTAAAGCGCGTAGTTTCTTTGTAACTTTCTTTCTCGGTTTTTAAATTTTGGACAAAACGTATTTTGAAAGTCTGTTCCTTATTTAACTTTAAATAATTTCTTTTCTAAGTTTATCTAAATCTCTATTCTAAGATCGCATTTTAGATAAGTGTTAAAAAATCGAGACATGCATATATTTTTCATTGTGTATACTTTATTATACGAGTATTATACATATATATATCTTAGCTTATATATCTAACATATATTATAAAAAAATTATTGGATATAAAATACATTTTCCATCTGTATGCCAAGTTTTATCCAAGTGACATCTTATTCAAGTTACGAGTGAAATATAATTTAAAATTTTAAAAATTACGAGTCATTAGAAATATTTTTCTTCTTCTATTTGTTCTAATTTAGTTAATGTTTACGAAATTTTAATTGTTTATTTTAAGGAATTTATAAACATATCTTCACACGATGTACTCAATCATCAGAATACTGAATCATTGTCAGAGAAATCTGATGTACTCCAGTCTGATAAATTATCATTAGACAAATCTGATGTATTTGATGATGTGTCTGATAAATCAGACGAATCTGATCTCTCATTGTTTAGTAAATCAGAATAATCTGATGTACTTTCATTGTCTGATAAATCTGAGGAATCTGATGTATTTGAACTGTCTGATGACATAGTGAAATCTGATCCTCTTCTTCCTCGATTATTTGCCATCATCCCGGGTGTATCCGTTATGAAAGCCTGTAGCAGAAAATATTTTAATTAACTACATACATATCAATAAAAATATTTTTCCTTATTAGTCTATTATTTGTTCTATTTAACACTTAGAACCATTAAGATTGGGTACTCTCCTAGAACTACCATTCACGCCCATTCATTATTTTCGGTTAATGAGGCGTTATTTTTATATTATTTCCTTTATTTAAGATTGTATTGATATATTTGTGATATTTTATGATTGCATAACAAAATTTTACTGCACTCAATTTTATTACAATTCAACAATAATTTTGCCATTTGCGCATGATTGCACTTACATATTATTCTTCTTCGCTGCTACAGAATACATAGACGAGCGGTTTATCTCCATTTTCAGTTAACTAACTGAACAATCAATCTTCTAATGATTGGAATTAAATGAATTGGATACCTCATATTATTCTGCGAAAGAACATCTATATACACTTTATGTTTTTATACGGTCGTTAAATAGTTATAAACAATTTTTTATTTAAAAAATGTAAACGTTGAATAAACATTCTGAAAATATTCTGTAAGCTCTCTTAATTGGGTCAAAATGAATGAACATTTTTTATTTCTTAGACTTTTTTGATATAATTAATAGTTCTTAAGACAAAAATTGTCTAAAAAAATTGAACAGTGACTAATTTTATAATTTGTTTCTCACAATCATCTAATCAATATGAATATAAAACGAAAATATTTGGCTAATCATAAATTATAATGAGAGTTTTGTTTTTTGATCTATACTATTATTTACAGTTAAAACATTAAAAATTATTGTTACTCTAAAAAATTATATTTCCAAAAACCGAGATTTTATGAGCTGCCGAACATTCACAAAAAGATATTTCTTTAAGAATTATTTTTAGTTGCATATAATAGTCGTCTCTATCCTCTTGTAACATTTTTTTAAAGAGATTGAAAAAAGTATCAAAAAAGATTTCAGATACATAAAAAACTGTTTTGAATTTGTTGAAAAACTTAATGGCATGCCAATAGATTCATATATCATAGTATTATTTCTATTAAAAAACTGACGTAAATCAAGAAGTTCTCTATCATTTTGCAATTTTTGCAATATTTTTTTTAGTCATCTAATTAATAAAATGTCTAAAATTGACATATAAGTATGAGACAACTTAAAATATTTTTAAGAGTTCTATAAGAAACATCTTCAAAATATTTTACAAAGAACACTGAAATATGTCTTAATATTATCTTATATTCATTCGATATACATCTCGATCTACATATAGATCTTATATACATCGATATTATTTTACAATGTTTCGAAATTAATATCTCATCAACTGTAGCAAAAATTGCAAAGTAGTAGAGGATTTTCCGCCTCAGTTTTTTATTAAGAATAGCATTGTATGATTAGTGAGCGTTATTTCAGATATATATTTATAGAAAATCTACTAATTTTGATATAAATATCTAAATTTAAAATCGTATCATCTCCTATAGAACATAAAAAAAAGAATAATGGACAATTTGACATAATATTATTCCTTTTGCATCTTAAATATCAAGAAAAGAACATTTCTTTTGTGTTAATTGAGATTGATACTCTTTCAACACTAACTTCTGTTAGAATGACTGATATTAAAAAAAACAACTAAAAAGTTTATCCATTTCGTTTCAAATGCATCAAACAATACTATAGAAAAGGAATTTTTGAAACTATTAGATCATTGCCTAAAGAAAGGTAACTCAAACGGAAGAAAAATCAAAACTATTTTGACAAATACTCTTGTCAAAGAAGAATTAGCACAAATAGAAGCTGAAAGAAATAAAAAAAGAAATAAAAAAAAAAAAAAGATATTTGAAAAAGGACAAATATTTGAAGAAGATATTTGAAGAAGAAATCTGTCAAAAAAAATAAAACTTGATTGAAACGAGAGTGTTGATAATGAAAATTGTTCCTGTTTGTGCTGTTTGAAATCGTTTTCAAATCTGAGGAAAAATGGATACAATGTATGAAGATCACAAGAGATGATCTTATGAAGATTGCATTGAAGGCGAATTGCAATATGTATGTCACAACTTTGTTAAATTAAGCTTTACTTAATAATAAGTATTTAATCATTATGATTATTTGAAATTTTATTACAAAGAAAAACGTTCAAATTTAAATGACAATTCAGACAAATGAGATTTAATTTAATTGATTTTTTTATCTTAAAAAAGTTATGTTAAACTAATTGAAGGTGAGACGTAATTACTTCATTTATAATTATTAATAAATATCTATTACTCTACGTTTCTTTTCAAAAACGTTTCTTAAATGTTTTAACAATGTTAATTAAAGTAACAAACAATTAATTCGTGCATATTATTTAATTTGGATAGATGAAGTAGGGGGAAAGAATGGTGAGAATCGGATGAGAGACGTGCGTCCCTTTGCAGAAGGGAGGGGAGGATGAGAGTCGAAGGTGTGACTCGTGTGTCCCTTTGCGTCGAGAGAGGTAGAGTTGAGAATTGAAAATGAATGGCGCGTGTCATTTTGCAGGGGAGGAGGTTGTCGCTTCCCTGGAAAAATCTCGAAACACATGTGCAACAGTATAATCATGGAAGTCGTGCATTCTTTAAGCAGGGGGGAAGGGGAGATGGAAGTTGTGTTTCGCATGGAAACTCGATAATATAGACGATATTACTTCCGAGTTATTGGCCACGAATGGATGGACATTCCATAAAGAATGGAGAACATTATTCGCACACGGTTTACATGCCGAATGTTTGGAATTTTTCGTTGTTCTAAACTGTGCTCTAAATTATAACATGCTCTTGTTTGGCATCGGATTTGAAATTTTTGTTCGGTTTACAAATGTTCTAATAAATGCATAAATAAAGATGATGATAATAAAAATAATCTCAATGAATAAACATACAATAAAAATATTTAAAATTTGTGTTTTATTAATTACTCCATATTAATTACTGCTGTCAACCGAAGTTTATGTTTATACTAGTGTAGATAGGACTACAGGAGGATTAAAAAAGTCCGATTTTTGGTCTCTTTGCGGAATTTAAGTTACCCAAAAAAGTCATTATTTGAAACTCACATGAAAAGGTAAAAATAGTTTTTATCCTAGAAATGTGGGGAAAGTAGATTTTTTAAATATTATGTGTCTCTTTTTGTAAGTCGAATTTTCGTATACCACGCTAGAACTTGTCATAAATTGGATATATTGCAAAAGTATTTTATGACAATTGATACTAAAGTCGTCAATGCAAAGCAACTGAATGTTTGGATTACCTATTGTGTAAAAAAGAAACTTCAGTGTCCAGTAATGAGGAAAAAAAAACCAAAAAAAAACCGAAAATTAAGAATTCTTAGATATATTATGATTTAGAGCGACTTTTTGGGAGTAAAGCGCTCACTTATAAATAAACTTATAAATAAACGCGTACTTTCTTTGTAACTTTTTTTCTCGGTTTTTAAATTTTGGATAAAACCAAAGTCTGTTCCTTATTTAATTTTAAATAATTTCTTTTCTAAGTTTATCTAAATCTCTACTCTAAGATCGCATTTTAGATAAGTGTTAAAAAATCGAGACATGCATATATTTTTCATTGTGTATACTTTATTATACGAGTATTATACATATATATATCTTAGCTTATATATCTAACATATATTATAAAAAAATTATTGGATATAAAATACATTTTCCATCTGTATGCCAAGTCTTATCCAAGTGACATTCCAGTTACGAGTGAAATATAATTTAAAATTTTAAAAATTACAAGTCATTAGAAATATTTTTCTTATTCTATTTGTTCTAATTTAGTTAATGTTTACGAAATTTTAATTGTTTATTTTAAGGAATTTATAAACATATCTTCACACGATGTACTCAATCATCAGAATACTGAATCATTGTCAGAGAAATCTGATGTACTCCAGTCTGATAAATTATCATCAGACAAATCTGATGTATTTGATGATGTGTCTGATAAATCAGACGAATCTGATGTACTTGTATTGTATGATAAATCAGAGGAATCTGTACTCTCATTGTCTAGTAAATCAGAATAATCTGATGTACTTTCCTTGGTAAATCAGAAAAATCCGATGTACTTTCATTGTCTGATAAATCTGAGGAATATGATGTATCTGAACTGTCTGATGACATAGTGAAATCTGATCCTCTTCTTCCTCGATTATTTGCCATCATCCCAGGTGTATCCGTTATGAAAGTCTGTAGCAGAAAATATTTTAATTAACTACATACATATCAATAAAAATATTTTTCCTTATTAGTCTATTATTTGTTCTATTTAACACTTAGAACCATTAAGATTGGGTACTCTCCTAGAACTACCATTCACGCCCATTCATTATTTTCGGTTAATGAGGCGTTATTTTTATATTATTTCCTTTATTTAAGATTGTATTGATATATTTGTGATATTTTATGATTGCATAACAAAATTCACTCAATTTTATTACGATTCAACAATAATTTTGCCATTTGCGCATAGTTGCACCTACATATTATTCTTCTTCGCTGCTATAGAAGAAATAGACGAGCGGTTTATCTCCATTTTCTTAACTAACTGAACAATCAACCTTCTAATGACTGGAATGAAATGATTTAATTGAATACCTCATATTATTCTGCGGAAAAACATCTATATACACTTTATGTTTTTATACGGTCGTTAAATAGTTATAAACAATTTTTTATTTAAAAAATGTAAACGTTGAATAAACATTCTGAAAATATTCTGTAAGCTCTCTTAATTGGGTCAAAATGAACATTTTTTATTTCTTAGACTTTTTTGATATAATTAATAGTTCTTAAGACAAAAATTGTCTAAAAAAATTGAACAGTGACTAATTTTATAATTTGTTTCTCACAATCATCTAATCAATCCCCTAAAAGTGCACATGAGTATGTACAAAAATATATATATCCTTTATTTTGGCCTAAATGACAATATATTATATTAAAATCGAAGGGGACACTTTTGTTTTATTGTGAATGCTATATTGGCGATTTCGGCAGTTTAAGGGTAAAAATGAAACTAAAATATTATACATCAATGAAATTGAATAAATTTTTCAATTCAAATCAAACTTTTAAAATAATAAAAAATCAAGAAAACAGAGAAGATTATTAACTAATATAAAAATTTATAGAAATTAAAATAATTTTACATCAATCTGCCCAAATGGCGGTTCTATGTGTTAATTAACGTTTTCTCAATTTTAATTATTTTTGCTTAATTGCAAACGATTATTATAGTTATAATGAGTCAGTTATTACAACATTACAAAACAGAACTTCTAAGCTACGAACATTTTAGATTCAAAATCGTGTTAGCATTCGCGTTTCAAATAATCTAATGGAAGATCGTGGCTCTATATGAAAGCGACGGAATTCGTAACTGGCGAGTTCGATTTCATATGCGTATTTTAATTCATAAAATTTATAATTTTTCATGATAATTAAGATCTTCCTATATTTAATAAGTGTAAGAAGAGAGAAGTGTAATATGAGAATAGTTTTTCTTACCTCGCAAAAATACATTATGGGCCTGGCTAGATTCATTGATCGAAACCACGATGATGTATTTACGGATATAGCGTCAATGAAGTTTTCTCCGTGTTCTTCTATATATAGCGAAATTAATATTAAAACTCGCTCGTATTGACGCAAAATCTCTTGCCATTCGCTGTAATCAGCGTTTGTGATGGATCCGTTTGCTCGCGCTTCGATTTGGTCATGTATGTGCGCTTCGTTGTACGCTGGTTGATTAATCATATTTAAATTTCTGCAAACAAAAAAAAACCATTGTACATAAGTAAAAATATTCAAATATTTCAAAAGTTCATATGTCCGTAAATCTAGCATAAGTTCATTACATGCATCAGAATTTGAAATATATTTTGAATCTCTTCATAAATTTAATACTTCGATCGAGATTATGAAATTAAAATAAATTCAATTTGATCATTATATAAAGATATTTTTTTAATTAATTTTATAATGTTCTTAGAAAAAGAAAAAATTTTTATTTAAAGCACAATAATAAGTACAATAATAATTTTTCTAAAATTTGTAATAAGCATAAGATAATAATATATTTTAAGATTATTATCAAAAAATATTCTTTGTTAATTTAAGAGGAAGAAAATAAATTGAGTAATTTTAATTGAGTACTTTTCTTACCAGTATATTCCGTGTAATGTATGTGAATTACTGTAGATATTATGTGGCACAGTGGATAACTTCGAATTCGACTTAACTCTGCGAGATTTTCAACAGAACTAAATGCGACAACTAAACGATACATATTTTATACATATAAAATTTTTGCTCAGTTTTTTCCTTCTTCTGATTGGTTGGAAAATTAGGACCGCCTTAGCCTCAGCTCACCTTCTAGAATTAGGTAGAAGGGAGAAAGTAGGGGTAAAGAAGACACATAGAAAAAGTAAAAGCTGTTTCATTGTCAGAAATTACATTACCTGAAGGTGATTTATTAGGTATTATTTATTCGTATATGGATACGAAGAAACAATACGATGGGAAGAGTTATCGTTGACATATATATATCACTGTATATTTGAACGTTAAACTTTAAACAGTTTTTTCAGTCTACTCTGAGATCGCAATTTGGACGCGAGTATCAGAAACATCAAGATATATCGTCAAAAGTTATGCGGCAGTAGAATGAATAAAACTACTCTCTAAAACTACTTGAAAAATTAAGAAGTATTGCAAAATAATTCAATATTTGAGAAGTATATTCCAAAATTTTGTAAAAAATTTCACTTTTTGAGTTTGAAGTGGCATACTATTCAATGTTGAAAGATTCGTATTTTAAGGTACTCTATGATGTACTAAACGTATTTTTTTACACCATAAATTTATGTGCTAAAAAAAGTTTAACTAAAGACAAACAAAATACATTTGTTTAATATTATTAGAAAGTTTAGCAATTTTGTTTAATACTTTATTGATTTATCTTATTGATTGGTAAATTGTTATTTTCTGTAAAGCGCGTAGTTTCTTTGTAACTTTCTTTCTTTTTAAATTTTGGACGAAACGCATTTTGAATGTCTTCCTTATTTAACTTTAAATAATTTCTTTTTAAGTTATTATTATTTTTTTTTCTATTCTAAGATCGCATTTTAGATAAGTGTTAAAAAATCGAGACATGCATATATTTTTTATTGTGTATACTTTATTATATGAGTTTTATACATATATGTATCTTAGCTTATATATCTAACATATATTTTAAAAAAATTATTGGATATAAAATACATTTTCCATCTGTATGCCAAGTCTTATCCAAGTGACAGTCCGGTTACGAGTGAAATATAATTTAAAATTTTAAAAATTACAACTACATTAGAAATATTTTTCTTATACTATTTGTTCTAATTTAGTTAATATTTACGAAATTTTAATTGTTTATTATAATTTATTTAATATATAATTTATTTAATATATAAACATATCTTCACACGATGTACTCAATCATCAGAATACTGAGTCATCATCAGAGAAATCTGATGTGCTGAAATCTGACAAATTATCATCGGAGACATCCGATATAGTCGCAATATCTAGTAAATCAGAGACATCTGTACTCTCTGAACACTCTGAGGAATCTATTGTACTTGAATTGTCTGAATCATCATCATCATCATCAGAAAGATCTGATGATGAAGTATTCAAATTGTCTGACTTAAAATCTGATCCTCTTCTTCCTCGAGATTTTGCCTCGCGTATTTCCATTCTAAAACTCTGTAACAGTAAAATATTTTAATTAGCTACATACATATCAATAACAATATTTTTCCTTATTAGTATCTATTATTTGTTCTATTATTTAACACTTAACATTAACTAATATAAAAATTTACAGAAATTAAAATAATTTTACATCAACCAACCCAAATGGCAGTTCTATAGTGTTAATTAATTCTATAGTGTTAATGTTTTCGTAATTTTAATTATTTTAGTTACAAACAATTATTGTAGTGTTATAATAAGTCAGTTATTACAACATTACAAAACAGAACTTCTCAACTACGAAGCTTTTTTAGATTCAAAATCGTGTCAGCATTCGCGTTTCAATTAATCTAATGGAAAATCGCGTGGCTCTATGAAAGCGACGGAATTCGTAACTAGCGGGTTCGATCTCACATGCGTATTTTAATTCATGAAATTTATAACTTTTCACGATAATTAAGATCTTCTTATATATTTAATAAGAAGAGAGAAGTGTAATATAAGAGTAGTAATAATGTAGTTTTTCATACCTCCCAAAAATTTATGGTCCTGCCTTCAAGATTCCATTGAAACCTCGATGTTACATTGTACGTATATACGGTTTCGTCGATTAAATTTTCTTCAATTGCTTCCACAAAAATTCCAATTAATGTTAGCTCTTCCTCGTACACAGGTAAATACTCTTGCCATTCGTAATCAGCATTAGTAGATCCGTTTGCTCGCTCTTCATTTTGATGATCATTTGCATCCTCGTTGTACGCTGATTGATTCATTTTTCTTTCTTCACACACAAAAAAAAACATTGTACATAACTAATAATATTTAAATATTTTAAAAGTTCATATGTCCGTAAATTTATCATAAGTTCATTACATGCATCAGAATTCGAAATATATTTTGAATCCCTTCATAAATTTAATATTTCGATCAAGATTATTAAATTAAAATAAATTCGATTTTTTTTTTATTATATAAAGTTATTTCTTTGATTAATTTTATAATGTTCTTAGAAAAAGAAGAAATTTGTATTTAAAGCACAATAATAAGCACAATAATAATTTTTCTAAAATTTGTAACAAGATATATTTTAAGATTATTATCAAAAAATATTCTTTGTTAATTTAAGAGGAAGAAAGTAAATTGGATAACTTTAATTGAGCACTTTTCTTACCTAATAGAATGCGTATTTGAGATATCCTCTGAATATGCACTGTATTATGTGGTACACTGTATATATACACTGTGCAATGCTCTCTAAATGAGTTCGAACTAAGTTTTCGACTATATTCGTCAAGTATCTTAACGAAACTAATACGTTTTTAAAACTAGAACTAAACTTTCCACCACTTTCTACCACTTTCCACCACTTTAGTTTACCCCATTTTTGCACAGGTAGTTTTTCCTTCTTCTGATTGGTTGGAAATTAGGACCGCCTTAGCCTCAGCGCAAAGGTCTCAACTTCTAGAATTAGATAGAAGGGATAAAGTAGGGAAATGACACATAGAAAAAGAAAAAGCTGTTTTATTGTCAGAAATTACACTACCTGAAGGTGATTTATTAGGTATTATTTATTCGTATATGGGATGACACATAGAAAAAGAAAAAGTTGTGTTTTATTGTCAGAAATTACATTACCTGAAGGTTTTTCTATATGAATAACGAAATGTTAAAAATAAAAAACAGAAGAGTAAAAATAATCATACCCGATCTCGGGTTAAGCCCTTCAGAGTTGACCTTGATTTGACTTTGATTTGACTTTCGTAAGTAGTCAGCTAAATCTTTGAGATTAATAAAAATAAAAATAAAAATTAAAATTTATAAAATTGACAAATTGTAAATAGATTTCTCGCTGAAACTTTTTCTCGCATCTATATTAAAATATTTATAATTTATACAATATCAATGCCATAATCTAAATATAATCACATCGTGACATATTCCGTTCCATCACCATCGGCTCGATTTTCTGCAACACGTCTCGCGACATACAAGCCTGTGTGGGACAACTATGCACATAGGACAACTTTGTCGTAACATAACGCGGAAGTATTCGTTACAAGCACCTGGCAAGCATGTCGCTTGACGAGTATCAAGAACGCGTCGCCTTCACGTCGCTACGGGCTGACGGGACCTGCTCTGCATTATCATGTCAAGTACGCATGGGAAAACGAGTACACCTTTTGAACGTTGACTTTGCAGCCGTGATATAATTACGATATAACTACGACGTGTCTCTCGTGAGAAGAGCGACGGTATTTTCTTCACGCGACAATGCTAACACCCGCGTTATATCGAGATATTTTTGCTTATCAGGATGCGCGTTGCACGTGCAAGAGACACACGAAAGTTACATAAGCGATACTAATCGATATAGCTAAAATTACGTAATAACAGATTTATATTTTTGTATACAAAAATAATAAACGAAGTTTAATTTTGCCAGATATGTTATATTTGCAATGGATGTATTTTTTTTATATCAGCATGGAAATTAATTAATCTTTGTATTCAGATTGCTCATCTTTTACCCCGATTCACAAATATTACCTCATTTATTTCGGACGCAAATCGACTTTAAATTTCTCCTCTCTCTCTCTCTCTCTCTCTCTCTCTCTCTCTCTCTCTCTCTTCCTCTTTCTCCAATGTAGTACTTAATAAAATCTAGATAAACTCTGTCTTCATAAGAACATAAATTCCAACTTCTTCGTTTATCTTTTTGTATTATCGTATGAATAACTTAAATATAATATTTGCGTTCAAAGTTTGCAGAATTCGTTAGATGTACACTCTCTCACACGCATATATCACCAAATCTGGATAAATTTTAATTTAAATTTTCCGCTATATTATGCCTCCAGCCAGAGATTGTCGGCAATGTGAAATTAAAAATCGCTCTATTGAGGCAGCATTCGTCGGCATGGACAGCACTACATTATAACAGAATTCCCGGCTTACTATTGCGCAATAAAATATTGCGTAATAGTAAGCCGGGGATTCTGAACTTACGTAGAAATTTTGAAACGAACTTTCCGACTAATCATACACACACACACACATACACACACATAATCAACAAATGTCTGCATGTATACACGTATATATACATATACATACACATGTAAGTAAAAAGGATTCTCTTTTCGTTCTATTATTTTTATTACCAATTTCCCGCTTCAACTAGTAGGTATGTGAAAGAATAAGTTTACTTTAGATACAAATGTGAAGAATAAAAACGGAGAAGAGAATAATTATTTTTATCACTGATTTTTTGCTTCGATCCGTAGATATAAAAGCGGAGGTTTATCTTACAAAATGCAGAAGAAAAACGGAGAAGGATATTGGGCAATAAAGAGATATTGGATATTGTACTGTGGTCACTAAAAAATTCAAATAGATTAACTGTAACGTGAAACTTACGACCAATGTAATTTTTACTGCGAACCCATTAATCTGGTCAATATAGATTGTACTAAATATCGTTAAAAAATTGGTAAAAGTTAAAATGTAGAGAAGCTGATTACGGCATAATAGCTGCAAGGCTAACAATATAAAAAGTTATAAAAAAAAGATATAAATAAATAAAGAAAAGAATATATATATATATATATATATAAAAAAAATCTAGTCGGATTAAAAATAATTAAACATCGAACGCACGTGATTTTTAATAACTAAATTTTTTAAATATAAGAAAAAATTTTTTTAAATATAAGAAATGATCATCGCAATCCAATTATAAATAATTAATTGTATTTTTTAACTTCTAATACACAAATACAAAAAATTCACAAATACATAATTACATAAAGAGGGATTCAATATTTTATACCGATAAAAAAGAGTTAATTAATTTTGTAAAAAAGAGAGAAATCCGATGTATATATTTCATTAATCTGTGGTATCTGAACGAAGATAGATTGGGCGAAATTAATCTTGTACTTTCTGAAATCACTAGGGACGATCTTGTTCCCGTCCGTCTTTCCATCAGTATCGAAGTCAGCTCGCACTTTATCGGTTTTGCGTTACCGGTGGCTGCTTACGCCCCCATCTGTAACTTGATTTATAACGCGAGGAGCGGTCCGCTCGCGTTTTGTTCCGTGTATACGCTACTTACGCAGTTCATAAACTTCACGTTCCCGTAAGTCGTTGGGGTAGTAAGTCGCCGGGGATTTCCGCGGAGGTGGAGAAAGGTGAAAGCGAGGTAGAAAGGCGTATTATCGTCGTATCACGTAACACGCGCATATACGCTGACATATTGCTTCGCGTAATGTAATGGGGGTCGTGCCCGAGCGCCGCGATCTTGTAAGGTGTCGTACGGCGCCTCATATGGGCCGGAAGGAACGCTATTGTTGTCGCGCCGTGTCGCGCGTTGGGGCTGTTAAATCACGCCCCAGGCATACACGCACGCACCTACCGCCTTTCGCAACGTCTCACTCGCAAAATCCACCCGCGTGAGGTACGTGTCAGTAGAAATCGTCGGAATTTCTCTTTCTTCCTACCCTTATGGGGTAGGAAGAAATACTTCCTATCGCCCTTTGTCTCGGGCATCGCGCACCTTCACTCGGGTGTGAAGTCTCGGGTGTAAAATCTAGGGCGTGAGATCTCGGATATTTTACGCGTGATGCGACGTTTGATGGATTTGCGTGAATGGATCGTGGAACCATGTTTCAGATAAACTGATTTCCTTAAACCCGTTCGCATAATTTTCCACAGGATTAACTTCGCGTTCTCGTATTATATACCGGGGGAGATTCTAGGAATGATTTTAGGATCAGCAAATATCTGTAGACCGTGAAATTAAAAAAAAAAAAAAAGTAGAAACAAAGAGGAAACGAAAATACCGGAAGGAATAATGTTCCGGTATTTTCAGACAGAACGCACCTCGCGCGCACGCAATTTAACATCGGATCGTCGAGAATTTATCACAATTTGCCACTCGCAACTGATATGGCAATTTTCCCGTCGCAACTGCAATATCTACATATTTCTCTGGCTCGCCAAAACGTTACAGCGTGATCCGAGAAGGGAATGTCCCGAATTTTTACCGTCGGATGCACCTTCATTGGTGAATCCGTTCGCGCTCCTCTGCGTGAAAGATTCATAAATTTCGCGTTGCATCTGTAAATGAGCGTTTTTCGCACTGTCGAGCGGATGGTAACGTAAGAGAGGTTTTTCGTACGAGAGAGACTGAAATGACGCGACGCGCGACAAATTGTTTTCGTAGCCGCGCGGGATGAAAATTATCGGACGTTATAAGTGCAGCGACAAGGAACGAATACGGGTTTACGGGGAAAATAACGTAAATTCCAGAAGCGATACGTTTTAGCCGGCGACGATCGTTCATGCTTATGGCATGGCTGTCTGCCACGTACCGGCTATTCGTCCTTGTCAGATTTCGAACATTTCGAACTTGGAACGTCGCGCGTTTCTTCTCGCGCGTATTTATGATGACGGGACGACAGTTTCGGCATCGCAGCCGATTCGACGTGAACGTAAACATTGTCGAAGCGAAAGTAAATAAGCAGACAAAATCGAAATCCACATGTGCAAAGCAAATATGACAGATACTGTATTTAGTCGTGCATTGTGCAGCAAGCGTTATAGCTTGTTGCAGATGCCATGCTGACGCATTAATCATTTCCTTTGTCAGCGAGTAGAAAATTATGCAACAACGAATGGAACGGGAGACGCATTAGCGAATAATTAGTTGAAACAACTTGATTTCTTTAGGACGAATTTTCGTAAATCCGCTTACATTTTCCAAATTCCATGA